AGACGCCGATGACCCCAATCACACGTCCTGGACCTTCATGGCCTCCTCTGGCCAGTCGTATGTGTCCAGAGTGAAGGAGTCGTAATCAGAACTGTAGGTCTGAGACAGCACAAATGCCTCCTTGTCCTTAGGCTCCGGGTACACTGAAGCAATGTTGTTTCTGTATGCGTAGTTGACGATCTGGGAAAGGAAGAAACAAAAGGAAAAATGGGGATTTTGGACACTTACAAGGGGCAACTACACCTGACGGGGTAGAGCAGGTTATCCGCCTATTTCTCCCTAAGACACTGAGCCTGAAACTTCGAGGCTGTACCGTTTCTCTTTTACTGTACCTGAGCGATTGATTCTGGGTAAAAAAAACCACTAGGTCAGAGAAATGAAGATTAACATATATTTAAATTCCATGAATTTGATTACTGTTCAAATGTAAATATCACAATATACATTTTATGGCAAATCTCAACTTAGGAATTCAAAACTTTATTTAAAAGCCCAGTGAAGAGGGCAGCAACCCACACTTACTACTGCATGAGATTGAGGTTATATGTTTCAGAAGTACCAGCTGACCAGCTTTCCTACCTTCACTGCGATCTTGAAGGACACCTCTCTAATGGTGTTGAGAGGAGGATAAAGCCTTCCCTCAGCCAGGTGCTCCTCTGTGACCATGTTGGCAATCGCCTGAGAGAAACAGGCAAGGACAGCCAATTAAATTATTTTGAAGTAAACATAATAAAGATTAAGTTTGTCTCAGGAGAGAAATCTAAACATTTACATGATTACTATGTACGGTCTAAAGAGAGAGACATCACTGCGCTGAAAGTAAAAATAAATGCATCTAAAAATCTAGTTTTTCAAATAAAATTCTCATCTAACAATGCGACGTACACACAGTAATGGTGGAACGTACCTCTGCGGTGGTGAGGAAAATGTCATCAGATATGTGGCGGACTCCGCAGGCTATAACGCCCAAAGCGACTCCAGGGAAGACGTAGGCATTGTTACCCTGTCCGGGGTAGAAGGTGCGTCCATCTGCCAGCGTCACCTTATGAAAGGGACTTCCACTAGCAAAGATGCCCCGACCCTTGTTAAAGAGAGGGGAAGGAGCGAGTTCACTTCATTAATGATAATTAAAATAAAAAAACAATGATGGAAAACCATGTAAGAATGCGGTGCTCTTGTATATGCTGTGAATGCTTCATGATTTCATTTACAATCTACAACATTATATAAAATATAAGTAACAACAGAAGTGTCTTAAAGCCGTATTTTAATCACAGTAGAATGCAGAAAACACATTAGATGTTTAAACTGAGAAAATGAATTATTTTATAGAAAAATACATCTCTGTAAGGGTAGAAAGTAAGCAGCACTAAAAGAAACAGCTGGATGAACATTTTGCAACTAATTAGGTTCACTGGCAACAGCTTAGTAGCATGATTGGGTTTAAACACAACTTCTCCAAAGTAAACATTTGGCAACATGAGGTTTCATCTACAAATTCTGGAACATTTCAGGATAATGTTATTCAATGTCAAACTGTAAAGACTTTGAATAACTCAATGTCAACAACAGATTCTGAGAAATCTGTGCAGAAGGATCAGGTCAACAATCAATATTGGATGTCCGTGACTTAGAAAGACACCACCAGTGCTGAAAGATTTTAAAGCAACATATGCCTTACATATTTCAACAGCACAATGACAAACCACATATCGGATCTACAATATGGCCAGCATGGCTTTGTAGCAGAAGAGTGCGGGTGCTGAACTGGCCTGCCTGCACTCCAGACCTTTCATTGGCTGAAGACGCCTCGAGCGTCACAAAACAAAAAACATGACGAATCCTTTATCAGACAAGAATCGGTCAGCATTCCTCTCCTGAAAGTCCGACAGCTGGTCTTCTCAGTTCCCAGATGTTTACAGCCACACAATGGTAAACATAAACCCTGCCCCAACCTTTCTGAGACTCCCATCAAACTAAAAATGACCTTATTTTTTTCTTAAAATTGTACATTTTTTTCAGTTGCCTTCTCCACCCTATTGTGAATAAATAAACTCCAAAACTCATTTTTTATTTTTACACAGCATCCAAACTTTGTTGGAATTGGGGTTGTAATTTTGGGAGGGTGAGTTGAGTTGAGCGTTACCTCTGTGAGCTTGTAGCACTGCTCTGCTGTGCACTCGGCCTTGCTGGTAGGATTACTCAGAGCAAAGATGATTGGCCTCTCGTTGAAAGATGCCATGTCTTTAATTATCTTCTCTGTAAAGGCTCCTCCAATTGCAGCGACGCCTTTTCCAAAACAAGAACACGCCAGGTTCACCACAACAACGGCACTAACACGATGTATCAATGCTGGCATTTAAAGGACTCTGATCCTGGTTTAGTGAAATCTGTTTAAAATTAAAGCCTCAGTTTTTAGTTTTTAAGTTAGGATCCATTTCTTTTTGTAGTTATCTTAATTTATTTAACTTAATTTAAGTAACTTAAAAAATTATAACTTGAATGTTGAAACAACGCTGTCTTGTCATCCAAGTGGTTCTACAATTCTGGCAGTTCATCAAACATGCAGTGTTTGGAATTTAAACCAATAAACATTGAAAATACTGTTGAATTTGATGAATTGGGTTAAATGGAAAGAGAGAGAATTAGTTGATTTGTAGCAAATTACTAAGGTGTTACTGTAATAAACAAAGCTGGATGCAAGAAATTCACCTTAAATAGCGTTGTGTGTTTTCCTGTACCTGGTTGGGAATTAGTGTAAATGGTTAAATAAAAAAGGTTAAAAAAAATAGTTTTACGTATGACACTGTGGATGTTTTTAGCCTTTAAAGTAATACAAAGCTAAAAAAAATCCCAGGATTTATCCACTGCATGCACTTTACTGAAGTAAACTCACCTATAATGGCAGTGGGTTTGATGATGCTCACCACCTCCTCCAGCGTTTTGATTTGCGCGTGCTCATGAGCAAACTCCTCCTTCTCATGGTTTAGGTGGCTTCTTCCCTGTATTTGTGTATAAAGATCTTGTTTCACAACTCCACATCCAGCTGTTTTTTGCTTTAGGAAACACATGAGGAAATATTTTACCTTCACAATGAGGCCCTTTGAGTCCACCATCCAGATCTTCTTGGCAGCTTCTTCTTTACTCAATCCTTCCTTGGCCATGGCCATTATAAGCAGATGAGCAATACCCAAAGCAGCCTGGTGGGGAGAGAAAAGAAAAGAAAAATTCTCCATCTGCATTATAGTCCCCACTTTTAGATACAAACCTAATCTGAATAAATATTTAGGCTACGGTGGCACAAAGGCAGTTAGTGAATTCTGAATACGATGCCAGCACTACATTTAAAAAAACTGGGATTATGCTAGAAAGTAATGCTAAACAAATTGAGTTAATTTGTAATGGGAGAGGGTATTTAAAAAAAAAAAAAAAACACCAATAAAAAAGATGGAGATAGCTGGACCACTCTGTGAAAGACTTGGTAATGAAATAGTCAAATGAAGGACATTTTTATTCATTGAGTTCTATTGACGTAGAACCCAATCATAACAATAGTCACCTCAAGGTCCTTTAGGCTGTAAAGTAAAGACCCTACAATGTTAGAGAGAAAACCCCCAACAACAAGATGATCCTCTATCAGCAGCACTTGGCGACAGTGGAAAGGAAAAACCCCCTTTTAACAGGAAGAAACCGGTGGCAGTACCAGGCTTAAGGAAAAGGAGCCTTTTGCCTCGATTGGTTGGTGGTGATGGGAAAGAGAAAAAGGAGAGCCCAGAGAGATGAGGGTGAGGAATAACCAAGGCGAGAGAAGAGCCAAATTTTAATGACATCCAGATGTGGTGTATAAACATCTGAGGCGATGTTCCAAAGAGATAAATGGAGAAAATTCACTCATGGGAAGCCACCCAGCCTCTTAGGACTTCCTCTGAGTCACCTATTCCAGCACTATAACTATATTTACATCATTATGGCCGAGTTACGACAATACCTGATCAGCCTATTACAACTGAGAGGTAAAAAGTAAAGGGTATTAAGCCTAATATTAAAAGACGAAATGGTGTCTCCTAAAGCCAAACTGGCAGCTGGTGTTCTCCAGGTTATCACTCCAGGAACCACAAAATTCAACAAATTTTCACCAAAGAATTTGTGGATTTCATGATGCATCCATTCATTTTATTCTGCTTATCCAAGATCAGCTGATTTTATGATTTATTTTATCAAAAGCAGAGATAATTCTCTCTGCGAGAGACAACACAGAACCTTAAATGGTTGTGATCTTTAAAGCAAATAATATTTATTATTATTTATTTGCTAATAAACAATTTGCCAGTCTATTTTCATTAACAACAACCAATGCAAAATTTTAAAAAGTAAAGAAAAGACATAAGAAACACGTGTCAGCCATCAGAGCTGCCGGGCGTGACATGAACGATGAATAAATAACTACAAATAAAAATGTTAGGAAAATCTTTTTACATTTTGTGTTCCTGAAAAGAAAAGTTGCTTGCTATATTAGAATATTGAATTTATAAAAATCACCAAATATGTGATTTAGGGCCTAGCATTACAAACAGACACTGTGCTGCAGTGTTAATAACTCCCTTAAAACCACTTTCACTGGTGGCTGGGCTCGTTCAAGATGGAATGAGGTGAAGTGGAAAACTGTCCCATGACCCAAAAATCCAAAACTGAAATTTTCCTAGAAAGTTATGGAAGCTGTATTCTCTAAACTCAAAAGAATAACGACCATCTTATTCGTCAGTTTGCACACATTTCGAAAGCTGGGACGCTACAGAGGTGCATTAGTGGACATGTCATGTGAATCTCCACATCTGTGCACCATTAATGGCAGACTGTATATATATATATATACACACAGCTAATGGCAGGGTTCATACACATTTTTCAGGGTCAAATTCAAGCACTTTGTAAGCACATTCAAGGTCAATTTTCAAGCTTTTCCAGCATATTACCAAAAAAGAAGAAAGCATGTTTCACTTTGCATCACCTCAGTAAGACCTTCAAGATAATTGAAACAAATCATCTTAGGTCGACTTAAATGTCTTTTGTTCCCCTTTTGTTAAAAGAGAAAAATGCAGCACACAAAAATAGTGAAAAAGGAAACGGTTGCCTTACATGCATATAGTGTACAAACTCAAAAAACACATTCCTCTTAAAAATTAAGATGAGCAAATGTGAACAAATCAACTTGTTAGAGATCTTCATCTCCATGTAAATAAACAACAACCAAGAAAACAACACCAAAACTGCACCAAACACCACAAACACCAACAAATTAATGTCTTCTCATCAGATATTGAAGCTTCTTTCCTGTGTGACATTAAAAATAGGAGACAGATGTTTGATTGTTTTTTTGTTCTTTTTAACTAGTTAAGCACCCACGCCCAGAAAAATGGTAAATGGCCTGTATTTGTACAGCGCTTTATTTTACTAAGGAAAGCGCTTTACACGTTCCGTCATCCACCCATTCACGCACACATTCACACACTGGTGATGGCAAGCTACATTGTAGCTACAGCCACCCTGGGGCGCACTGACAGAGGCGAGGCTGCCGGACACTGGCGCCACCGGGCCCTCTGACCACCACCAGTAGGCAACGGGCAAAGTGTCTTGCCCAAGGACACAACGGCCGAGACTGTCCAAGCCGGGGCTCGAATCAGCAACCTTCCGATTACAAGGCAAACTCCTAACTCTTGAGCCACGATCGCCCAGTGGGGACATTTCATTTTTGAGCAGGAAGCTCCCCCTTTTTGTTATACTCTTTAGATCAGGGGTCGGCAACCTGCGGCTCCGGAGCCGCATGCGGCTCTTTAGTCCTTATAGTGCGGCTCCGTGTGGTTTGGGAAAATAAATTAGAAGTATTTAGCTGAAGTGTATTTTATTTATGTTAGTTCTTTTTTTTGTTAACTTGTAGTTCTAAATTGGAAGATTATTGTGATTTTGCAATATACAAATAAAATTATATTTTGTTATTTTTTCATCGCTCAAAATAAGCGTCACACTCGCAGAAGCCGGTGTACCCGGCGAAAAGCAAAACACAGAAACAATCGATGAGCTGAGAAATCTCATCCTGGAGAAAAAAAGCGCTCGTGGAAAAGTGCATGAAAAAAAAAAGAAAAAGTGGTTCCACTTGTTCCGGAGGAGAGATGCTACTGCTTCCTCACCTGATGTAGCCTCGTCTTGCTCCACCTCTGTTAACCCCCCCCAACCAGTGCCGGCAGTTAACTGTCCCCTCCTGAGCCTGGTTCTGCCGGAGGTTTCTGCCTGTTTAAAGGCAGTTTTTCCTCCCCACTGTCTCCTCTGCCTTTTTTCTTTATTTACTTGCTTGTTTAACTTTTTTTCCCAACTTATCTAAATAATAAACCAATTGAATTTATCCTTTGAGTATTTTTCATCTCATCTTTACAGAATTTTTCTAAAACATTTTCAAACATTCAGATCTGTCTTTTATTTTCTTCTTGAAACCTAAATGGAGAAACACATTGTGCACTTTACTTCTCAAAGAAAAATGCTGCTTTCTCATTATTTTTTAATGTAGTGCTGGCATCAAATTACAAATCTAGTGTATAGCATGTTTTCTTATTCAAAACACAGTAAAATCTGGCATTTTGTCTTTCAAACATTTTTTTTGTAAAAGTAAATGAAACCCTTTGTCATTCCAATTTGACAGAAGGCACTGTTTTCCTATCTCTCGGGGATTAAGGACAGTTATTTTTGCTCCAAACACCATAAAATCCTAGAGAGCAAATCCTCTTACCTCGCCTGCCCCTTGGAAGACAAAAGTGTGGTCTGACAATTTGTTCTTGGTGATCTTTAAAGCTGCTAAGATCCCTGCAACAGCTACAGAAGCCGTGCCTGCAGGAAAAACAAAACACTCGTGATTGCAGTTTGAAGTCTCTCTCATGATCTCTTACAGTGAAACGCTGTACAAACAACAAACAGAAAAGGATTTGTATGAAAGTGGTCAGGTAGAAGAACGTGGTTGAAAATCAGTGGGAAAAAGCAGTCAATGTCCAGAGAAAACCCTCAGGTTAACTCTCACTGATGAGGTGAGAGTTAATAGTTAACAGGTGAACTGTGAGTGCACGATGACAATACGGAAAGTAAAGATGGTGAAATTTAAATAAATACTTTTTGATGTGTTGAAGTGAAACTTTGTAACTATTGAAAGAAAATTAAAGGGGCAACTGACACTGATGTTTTTAAATTTCCATGTGTGGTTTTCTTCAGCTAGTATGACCTGTTACTTTAATTACAAAGCATTAGTTTGACTTTTATTTGTATGACCTGCGTCACTGTACTAAACAGCCAGAAAGTAGCTGATCTTGGACTTAAGAAGTTTGCTGAAGCAGCAGCTATTTGATTTCCTCTAAGTAACCTGATGCGTTACAGTAACAAAGATAAAGTTTTTCTGATTTCCTTTTTGTTGCAGAACTAAAATGATGATCATCACTGGGGAACAGTTGGTGCTTTATGACTTAGGCTAGTGAGGGCAAATATAACCGCCTGTTTAGAGTAAGCTGCTTTATTTTTACTTCTTTGTTTCATTTTTAGTTTTGAGTCTTCACAGAATCTTGATCTGTGTTGGCTACGTTTTCGTTTGCTGTCTGAAGCATTGTATTTCTGAAACAGGAATCCTGAAATGAGGAAGATTTCAGAAATTTTTTACCCAACTGAACCCATCAACATATTGTAGTGTATATTATAAAAGGTAAGACGCTCCTGGCTGTAACGCCATGAGTAATAAAGCACCTTGGATGTCGTCGTTGAAGGTACAGTATCGATTTCTGTACTTGTTGAGGATGCGAAATGCGTTGCTGTTGGCGAAATCCTCAAACTGTATGAGGCAGTTCATCCCGTACCTGTGGAGGAACAGCGTGGTTAGTCTGACATCAGCACTGCCTCCTCATCCTTCATTCACCTGTGCTTTCACTTACTTATCTGTCACTGCTTGCATGAACTCATCAATCAGTTCATCGTACTCCTTTCCTCTGATTCTCTTGTGCTTCAGCCCAATGTACAGAGGGTCATTGAGCAGTGCCTGAACGGAAGGACGTTTAACAGGTCAGCAAATTAATGAAAGACTTAAACCGTGCATGCATGCATCGGCATCTGTAAACTATTGCCAGATCTTTGATGAACCAGGTTTTATGAGCTGCTATACTAGCTCATAAAACCTGATTGCTCTGAGGTCATGCTCACCTGGTTGTCTGTGCCAACATCCAGTAGCACAGGGAGACACTGCTGTGGCCGAACCCCACCGCAGGCTGTGTAGAGCGCCAGCTTCCCCACAGGAATGCCCATCCCATAGCTGCCCAGGTCCCCCAGGCCAAGGATACGCTCCCCATCAGTCACTACAATGGCCTGTGGATGAAGGCAAACACTTTCACTAATGTGTCTGAGACATTATTTTCTCAGAAATCAGCAGCCGCCAGATTAATTGCGTGCCGTTTACCTTTATGTCTTCTTCTGGCCAGGAGTTGAGCATCGTGGCAATGTGGCCTCGGTCATGGATGGTGATGAAGAGTCCTCTGTAAATGAGTCAAGTGATGATACAAGTAGTTAAATCTGTTTTCCGACTGACACTGACGCCGATGCACATGCATACCAAAAACGGCACAAAAATGAGCCCAAAACAAGCATGAGAACAAGGAAAAAAACATTTAAGCCGATGCTCAGTGTGGGGCTCAAATCTAACCCATTTATTTTAATTAAAGCAAATATCTAACCCAGCACTAGCAAGGTGTACCTAATGAAGTGGCTGATGAGTGGAATGAAGTTTACCTTGGTCTCCTGAAGGCGAGTCCATATTGCTGGCAAGCCAGGCCGACAGTGGGAGTGTAGACGATTGGCATGAACTCCTCGATGTCAGAGGTCAGCAAACGGTAGAACAACTTCTCATTCCTGTCCTGTAGTGTCATCAACAGGATGTACCTGAGACAGAAAAAACATTATGATGTGTTTCAGAAACGCAGTAGGCCATTTCTGATCTAAATATTTCTGTATAATTACAATGTGTACAAAAATTCCCTAAAACCCCTTTTAAAAATTATTATTTTTTTGCATATTTAACCATTATTTGGCTAAACGCAGTGAGATGCTGGTCGTTTGATTCAGTGAACCGCTTTGTTCAAGACTGAAATCTGGACAAAATTTTGGGAACTGAGGAAAACTTCTCCCGTGGTTTTGTGCCGTTCTTGTTTCATGTAAGATTTCAGTTGCTCAAAGGTTTGTGGCTGTTTTAGACTGCAGGCAGGTCGGTTAACACTCTGGCTCTACTACAGGGCCATACTGTTTTTTGAAAAGCACCGCTTTGGTATTACTGCATTTTTGCACCATTGTGGCTTTAATATTTTAACCAAACAGTTTTAATGACTTGGAAAGAGTCACATATGATGTGTGAAACAACCACAAGTCTGGACACTGCTTTGAAAGCATTTAGCGGGAGCCCTGATAAGCAGCATGTTCAGTGGGACAACCTCACTGAACTTCTGCAGCTGTCGTGTGGTTTCCATCTTGAACAGCACCAGCTGTCTGTTCTCTCACTTGTCCAGAGGATTGGTGCGTGTTTCGTAGCTCTTCATGACGCGCAGGACTTGGACATCCTGGGACAGGAAGCAGGGGGGTAGCAAGCCGTGGATACCCAGTTGTAAGCGCTCCTCCAGGGTGAATGCCATTCCCTGTAGGGCGGAAGAAGGCCGATTATGTAACGCTAAACTAAGTAACCAACTCAGTCAATCCAGACCACAATGACTCATCCTTTAGGCATCACAATTTTGAGCTTAATTATGAGTTAGTCATATACAAGCACGGTGGCCTTTTCCATGTTTTTTCTTTATGTAAACCGGTTGCCATCTTTGCACTGAAAACAAATGCAGAGCAAAAAGAACACGTAGTAAACAACAGGAGAAGGAGACTGACGTTTTTTTTCTGGTCAGCAGACTTGTACCCTTCTGCCTTCTGGTTACAGTTACTGTTGCTGCTCTCCTCCCTCCACGCTGGCATTCTTCCCACAAAGAGTGCTCATAGGTGGGGGTGTGGGGTTTAATCTATTTATTCTGCCCAATAGTAAAGGGAGCCTGAACCCACTCCCCTGTCAGCTCGACTTCTCTTTCCTCCTCGTCCCTTCCTTTGATTCTTCCTCTAGTGAAAACACTGACCTACATGGGGAAAAAACTGGCCTTTCTAGGCTCAGCTTGTTTTTCTGTGGGTCTTCATGAGCCCATGTCCTGCAAATTATTCATGCTGGCAGAGTGGGGGGTGAAATATGATAGTGCTATTTACAACTATTACTCCTAGAGTTATTACACAAGCTGCACGCTTTGCATTTTAATTGCGAGTTGCATGCCACGTGGCACCACCGTGCTCGACAATGGGTTCTGCAGCTTAGGGCAGGTCGTTAAATGGAAACGATGATTCATTAAGAAGGCCGATTATGTAACGCTAAACTAAGTAACCAACTCAGTCAATCCAGACCACAATGACTCATCCTTTAGGCATCACAATTTTGAGCTTAATTATGAGTTAGTCATATACAAGCAAGACTGCATACTGTCATCTGTGCTGTTTGACAGAAAGTTTGAAACACAAAGATTTCACTCGGTAGTTTGAAAAGTTGTTTTTTTCATCTAAGCGGGGCTTCACTTCCTGATTGCTTGCACTTAACTGACCTATGAATCAGCACGTAGCTGCTGACTCGACACCAGCGCTGGTGGAAGGAAACATGACCGACCTGATATCAAGCAAAATCTGGTGTTTTTGCAGTGCTAGCAAGGCACAAAAAAGTACTCTCTCTGTGAATTCACTTTTTGAAAATGGTGACAGTCTATGTATTTATTACACTCCACAAGGAGAGACAAAGGCAGAGTACGACAGATGTTACAGGAATCTGTAGAAAGACCATTCACAGCTATGTCAGTCTACTATGTTGTATAAATAGGAAGTGCTGTGGCATTCATAGTTTACTTAGGAGCAGTTCAGAATGTGATATTTTTATTGTACTCTCTGTTTATGTTCCCTCACCATCATACATGGTATGCGGGACATCATGTGGCCTGTAGACACAGCTGTGTGACCCAGGCTGGGTTTAAGAAATATGGTTCCTTGCAGTAGTTTGACATCAAAGTTAAAAAAGTATATTAATGTCCTTTGTTATGGCCTTAAAATTATGCGCTTGCTACTACCTCGGTGCCTTTTGTGATGCTTCCCCCCCCCCCAAGCGTTGCTCATAAATGTCAAATCTTTGGTCATTTTACCATTTCACCTTATGTTACACACCCAAAAGAAATACATTTACATTACGATTAGGCTTTGATTATGAAGCCACTATCAGCTCTGGCATATGGCCTCTGTGTGCGTCTGTGTGTAATACAAACAACATCACACACATTATTCATTAGCTGTGTTACATCAACAGAAGCAACTAAAATCATTTAAAGGCACACAACAGGCAAATCACATCTACATGGATCTAAAGTAGAAGTGACTGATCCATAATAATAATAAGCATAATCTGCAGTGGAAAACTCACTGTATGCCGTCATTACCTGATATTAAACATATGCACGAAGCATTGTAAGATGTGCTGCTTTCCTCACTCTGGATTGGGGAAGCTGTAATACAGGACAGGTGTGTGCTCACCTTGTTGAGGTAGGGGTTTCTGGTGATGTCGTAGCCCCTCTTCTTGGTATTGACGGTGGGCTTGCGGCTTGTCCCGGAGTGGCAGACCCGCACAGCTTGGAAAGAGGCCCTGTCGGCCGACAGGACCCCTGCAGCCGGGGCACCTGAAAGGACCCTCATCATCCCGCCTGTGGCCGTGCGCCTGCACAGGGACAGTGCGGCTCTTCCTGGGAGAGAGTTCATGCTGCCAGAGGGTAGCAAAGACACAGAATACATGCTGTGAATAATACGGGTTCAGCTGATCCTGCACTGCAAGAGAGTCTGACCCGGGTCACCAACTAAGATAAACAACAGGTGCTCCGGTCTCAGCAGACCTCACACATACAGTGATAGCACTGAAATGAGTCAGTGATGAAGACTAAAGCCGCTGCGATAGGCATGTTTTTACAGAAACCTTGCTCCGTGACGCTAAGCTAACAGCAGCTTTTCTTTACCGGCGGAATGCTGTCAAGCTGCTAATGCTAGCTAGCATGTGGCTAATACTTCGTTAGCCGCTGCCCTCACCTGAAATCTACGAAAAGCTGCTGTCCACCTGACTTCTGTCTTCACAGGCAGACGCTGTGTCTTCTCTGGCCGGGTACTCCGGTTGTTTTTTTTTGTTTTTTGTTTTTTTTTTTTACTTGACGCTGGGGAGGGTGGTGGTGGTGAGGGGAGGAAGGAGGATCGACAGCTAACAGCTGATCCAGACTCACTTCCCTCCTTCAGTCAGCCTCTCCAATCAGCTTGCAGCCTAACCCACTTTCCCCCCTCACAGTCTCCATCCTCACAGCCTCCATCTTCAGCATCTGCACATAGAAATGACACTTTAAGCTCCGTGGATTGGATTACCAAGGAGAACCGCAGTCTGTTTTTAATAGTAGAAGCATGCGCATAAAGTGAATGTTTGCACTTGATCTTCCTGATCACCTATACGCAAGTACATTGAAAGTCACTGTAAGCCACATTTATTGAAAAAAATAAAAAAAATAAAAAAAATCAGTTCCCTGGCACCAACTGACATTTCAAAAGCCTTAGTCACGACCAGTGACTGTGTAAATAAATATACATGTTTTCAACAGTCACTGGTCATGACACCGCGCGAAAATAAAACATAGAAGATAAAACCATCTGTGGTCACAGGTCATATTAAAATGTGCTGGCTCCCTCTGCTGCAGCCTGACAGTATCTACAAATCTAGAGCACTTGGGAAAGACTTCATGTAGTGAACAACATGCTTTACCTGAGTGGTGATACCCCGGAGCACTGTTGCCTACAAGTACAAGATACACAGCAGTATAAATGGAATATTCAGACCTCCAGTGAAAGGATCTACCACCATTTTCTGGCTGCTCCTGGTAGTAAATGCTACAAGTAGCTCATCTGCCTCCATCCAGGCCTTGATGAGGGATGAGGGAAGGTTTATTTTGATTGGTATATTACCACTTTTGCCTTCAGAACTGCCTTAAATCTTTGCGACATAGAGTCAAAAAGGTGCTGGAAATATTTCTCAGAGATTTTGGTCCATATTAACATGACAAGATCACACAGTTGCTGCTCGTGTTCCACCTGATGACAACGGTGCTCTACTGGATTAAGGCCATTTAAGTACAATGAGCTCACTGTCTGAGATGATCTAAAACAAAAGCAGCCATTAGAAGATGGGTAAACTGCTCATACAGGGATGGACACAATCAGCAACAATCAGAAGTGCAGCTTGCCACCAGAGGAGGCAGACAACATCTTGGGACCCCAGGTTAGTGGGTTTGACTTTAAACGTCAGCAGTGGCAACATGTAAAGTTTCCAAGGACAGTAGAAAAGACCTTAAGTGGGTTGAACAAAAAGATTGCATAAAAGTGTGAAGAACTAGTTTTGTCTTCAACAAGTGAAATGCATATTCAATTGGGTTAAGATCAGGTGACTGGTCTGGCCATTCAAGAATGGTGACATCTGGTGGCCAAAAATATGAAGAACCGCTTGAATCCACAAAATAAAACCAACTGCTTCATTAAGATTGCCCGCTGTACAGAGTGGAATTCTATCTGATATTGGGCCGCCGTTGTGTTGCTTTGAACGTGTATTTTTTTTTTTTTTTTTTTTTTTGGTGGTTAAAAAAAATGGTTTATTTGTTTAATAAATAATTTTGACCAGTAAACTCTCCTTGTTTAAACATGCACCATTGTGTGGTCTTTCTTTGCTTGAGACTTCTTGATGTTGGTAAATACAATAATTGAAAAATACCACGTTACATATGATAATGTACAACACATTATGGAGTATGCTTCTGCTGTGAGGTCCTGCCTCCATGCACTTATGCAATTAACCGCTAGACGGGTATATATATAAATAATATTATATTAGGGAAATTTTCCCAGACATATTTTTGACCTGGGGGTAGAATTGATTGTGAAATGGAAATTGCTTATGAACTTGCAAATGAAAAACATGATGCATTTAAAGTAGCCCTTTTTCATTTTTATTTAAGAAGAGAATTTGTTCCACTGTGCGATGGCCGAACCTGTTCCTTTTCGTGGCGATAATTTCTCCTGCCTTAAGGAAAATCCCTTCACATGGCCCAGAGGAGGCTGGAGCGCACAGAAACTGGTAGAGATGCAGTTATACAGTCTAACTGGGCCCCACCAACTATTAGCTAAAGAGAATAAATAAATTCAATCGCTGCACATTTGGCAGACTAACATTTTCAGATTAATTAAACAATAAAATATATATTTTACAACATTACATGTAAAGAGTCAAGTGAAAGTTTTTCTACCGAAGCAGTTAGGTTCTAAATGAAGCTTCGGACGTCACTGATCACATGACTCTGGCCAAACGAAGCAAGCTTCGACACAGTGCTTCTGAAGCAGTGTGCTGATTTTTTTGACACACGCACCGGAGCTTCAAGCGGGCCATCACTACCTCAAACAGTCAGACTCCAAACTCCGCCATGGCCAAGACCAAAGAGCTTTCGAAGGACACCAGGAAAAGTATTGTAGACCTGCACCAGACTGGGAAGAGTGAATCTACAATAGGCAAGCAGCTTGGTGTGAAAAAATCAACTGTGGGAGCAATCATCAGAAAATGGAAGACATACAAGACCACTGATAATCTCCCTCGATCTGGGGCTCCACGCAAGATCTCATCCCGTGGGGTCAAAATGATCATGAGAACGGTGAGCAAAGATCCCAGAACCACACGGGGGGACCTGGTGAATGACCTGCAGAGAGCTGGGACCAAAGTAACAAAGGTCACCATCAGTAACACACTACAACGGCAGGGAATCAAATCCCGCAGTGCCAGACGTGTTCCGCTGCTGAAGCCAGTGCATGTCCAGGCCCGTCCGAAGTTTGCCAGAGAGCACATGGATGATACAGCAGAGGATTGGGAGAATGTCATGTGGTCAGATGAAACCAAAGTAGAACTTTTTGGTATAAACTCAACTCGTTGTGTTTGGAGGAAGAAGAATACTGAGTTGCATCCCAAGAACACCATACCTACTGTGAAGCATGGGGGTGGAAACATCATGCTATGGGGCTGTTTTTCTGCCAAGGGGACAGGACGACTGATCCGTGTTAAGGACAGAATGAATGGGGCCATGTATCGTGAGATTTTGAGCCAAAACCTCCTTCCATCAGTGAGAACTTTGAAGATGAAACGAGGCTGGGTCTTCCAACATGACAATGATCCAAAACACACCGCCCGGGCAACAAAGGAGTGGCTCCGTAAGAAGCATTTGAAAGTCCTGGAGTGGCCTAGCCAGTCTCCAGACCTCAACCCCATAGAAAATCTGTGGCGGGAGTTGAAAGTCCGTGTTGCTTGGCGACAGCCCCAAAACATCACTGCTCTCGAGAAGATCTGCATGGAGGAATGGGCCAAAATACCAGCTACTGTGTGTGCAAACCTGGTAAAGACCTATAGTAAACGTTTGACCTCTGTTATTGCCAACAAAGGTTATGTTACAAAGTATTGAGTTGTATTTTTGTTATTGACCAAATACTTATTTTCCACCCTGATTTACGAATAAATTCTTTACAAATCCTACCATGTGGATTCATGGATTTTTTTTTTCACATTCTGTCTCTCACAGTTGAAGTGTACCTCTGGTGCAAATTACTGACCTCTGTCATCATTTTTAGGTGGGGGAACTTGCACAATCGGTGGCTGACTAAATACTTTTTTGCCCCACTGTAGCTTTGCATTTGTTATAAGAAAGGAGGAAGAATAGAAGAATTGTCCGCTCGTTCACCTTGACATAAACAGATCACAATGTTCAGTTTGACTCAGTAACACCTCAACAGCTTCTAGACCAAAATGAACAATCTTGGACGCTATGGACAGGAGACACCTGGAACAGTTAGGGAAATATCCCCATCATCAGACTAGGGATTTTAAATTGCTTCCAGCTTATTAGAACTATTAGTTACAGAGTAAATAACACTGATTCTAAAAATCAACCATATTTGAGCCGACATATATTCTGCAGGACAGCAGCTTGATTTTTTACTTCTTTCACCATGACAACCTTCAAAAAAAATGACAAAAGGTGTTTCAGTGATGAACACATACCAGTAAACATGGATCTGTAGGGCAGAAACTGTTTAATGTATGAGCTATTGAGTTTGACTATAAGTATTGGGACCAATGAATGTACTACTTAAGCCTTTTATTTTTTAGCCAGCTGCTTATACTTTGGTGGAAAAAGTGACTCATATACAATAATGGATGCACAGCAGGAACAGGAAATAACAAGCTTATGGCAAATCTTATAATATTTGTCATTTGTTGTGAGAAGAACAAAAACACCATCTACATATTATTATTATTATTATAAACAGTTTATTGTCTTCTTTTACTAACAAATTGTCATTATTATTGCTTTAAATCATATTTTTTTTTTGCTATGTGTCCTTATAAGATACTGTATAAATAAAGGTTGTGCTGCATGATCCTTATATGACTTTTACACAGTCTCTGTGGGAATGACAGGCCACACATGAGTGATATCACTACAGTTAAACACAAACATATAGTATGCAGTAGTTACTCGGTTATTTAGCACACGGAGCGTCTTCTCTGCAGTCCCTTCTGCTGAGCGTTGATTGTAAAATTGCCTTATGGTGAATCAGCAGGGGTCGCTGTGGAAATTGCTCTCTGTGGCAAAGTATCCCCGTGTTATGAAAGCACACACGTGAGTTTGTAAACACGAGATAGAGAGAGAGTGGAGGAGGACGGCCATTCTCCCAGCTCAGTAATATGAGGCCTTCTTACTTTCCTTTGGCGCTGTTTGCCAACATCCTGTGTCTGTGTGAGAGCTACACCCTCAGGAGCTCCGTGTCCTGGGTGGTGTCCTCCAACGATGTGGTGGAGGACGGAGACTTGTCGGAGGAGGTCGCCCCGGCGCTGCTGGTGGACAGTGCGGGGCTGTGGAAGCAGGCGTATCCGTCCTCCAACGTCCTCGGAGACAGCGTGGAGAGCCCCGGAGAGCTGGTCAAGCCCGAGGGCGACAGTGCCGCACAGCTTTCCTCTCGCCTGTTTTCATATCGGTTAGAGAAGGTGAAGAAGTCCGCCAGCAGCACTCCTCCCCCGCACCAAGACACAGCAAAGACTGCCAGATACATATCTCATTACAGTGACTGGGGGTACCTGGCCACCATTTCCACTCAAGAAAAGGTAACGCACACAGAGGGGATAGTGGTCCCGGTTCAGGATTTCTTTGCGCATTTAAGCGTAATGGGACAAGCTGAGGAACACGCCCATGTTCTCACCATATTATGAAAAAGATACCCCTCTACCTTTGTGCGTGGACCCTTTGATTTTACACGA